CGGGAGAAGAAAAATTGATGACGACAGTTGTGTTTGGAAGGAAAGACTGTAGCATGGTATCAATATAGAGAACAATGTGAGGCAATTCGGCATGAGATGAATTCAAGTTTCGATTGTTGTAGCACTTCTGAACCACAAGGAAATGAAATTTACACGAGAAATTTTTTGCATTTGTCTAGGAAGAATTTGCACGGATTATAGGGAGAAATTTGAGATGTTATCCGACTGTTTGAGTGGGATATCAGAAGAAGTGTTGGAAGACAATTTTATGAAAAAGTTGAAGTTAGAGATTCAAGCATCAGTTTGCCTGTTGAGACCACAATGATTGGGGGAATCTATGAAAATAACATCGTTGGTTGAAGATAAAAATACAATGAAACAAGCTATAAAGAGCAACTTAGGTAGAGCACCATACCGAACTGCTGTAGTCACAATGATGCCAAAAACTCAAATAGTGGAAGTTCAGAGGGAGGCTTCACTGGACAAGAATCATAAGCCACAATCATGGGCAACACTCAAGCGTCGTATAGAGATGAATTCAGGAAAAGTGAACCAAGGGCTTATGTTTACAGTATGATGAGAAGTTTATTCCATGGCACTTGCAAAAATCGAATATTACAGGTTCTCATAGTATGTGATGAGGACGCAGGTGATGAAGAAACAAAGGAAATAGTGGTGGAGGAACACTTTTTTTTTCTCACATTGAGGACAATGTGTCTTTTTGGGAGAGGAGTATTAAAGACAATTGAGTTTTTTATTATTGTTTATTATGAATAGCTCCTAATAGGTTTAGGGTTAGGGGTTGATGCATGAGATTATTGTTGTGAGTCTTAGGTTTAGATTTATGACAGATTTCCTACCCCTCAAATTATAGAAACTGGGAGAAATCACCTACCTCTCAACTTGTAGGTACTTATGTTGATATTCTTGCAATAAAAATATGTTTGCTTTAATTTTTGTGGGAAAATCTAATATAGAATCCTATCACAATTGATATCGGAGTTGACACAAATTCTAACAGAAAAGCAAATTTATTATTGAAACCGAAATATGGACTTACAAACAACCAATTGGAATTGCAAATTAAAACACTCAAAACACTAGAAATTGAGTTTGGATTTCTTTTTATGTTGGGGGGGGGGGGGGGGGGGGATTTGGAAGCTGACGCGGGGGTGGAAAAGACAATTGACAAGCGAAAAACAACAAGATTGCAGTTTCCCGGGGTCGGACAACAAGTGCACAGTTGGGGGATGATGTGTAAAGGCTCTCCAGGTTGATGACATCAAGGGGGAAGGGCAAAATTGGCAACGATTACAATGATGAAGCGGTCGAAGTTGGCTAGCCAATGGATTAGGGGGACTACAATGAAGGGTGGGAAGGGACGATAGTTGATTGGGAGGGCTATGTTGGCTGCTGGGAAGATGTACGCCAGGTTTGCGGCTAGCTGGAGGTGCTAGCAACGAGAATGGAGGGTTGGAACGGCGATGGGGGATGCGGTGGGCTGCCAGACAACTAAAGGAGGGCTGTCCTGGGCATCACAACGAGGAAACTGCAGGAAAACTGCAAAAATATTGCTATCGGGGTGGCCTGTAGCGAGGAGGAATGCGAGACAACAAGGCGAGATTAATGCAGAGGAGTTGGGGAAGGATAAAAAACATGTGGAGACCATACAATCACCACCCATAAATTAAGATACAACCCTCATAGGGATGAAGAGAAGCTGGTGGCTGCTCGATTCAAAACACATGAAAAACTAATCATAGACTCCTACGAAAATAAATATAGATAACTAAGAGTCGCCTAAGAGGACCGACCAACTCCTCAATAAAGATTCTTCTTGGATCGGGTTTGGTCCATGGTATTTTCGATCATGGTTTTTTTTTTGTTTGTGTAACTCTTGCTCGGGAGCTACAGTGTTTGCTCCCTCGTCAATTTTCTGGGGTCGGGGGAGCTTTAACTTCATTTTTTGAATCTTCAATGTTCTCATAGTATGGAGTCAGGTCTGCCACTTTGAAGGTAGTAGAAGTATTATAATTTCTCAGTAGATCAACCTTGTAGACAATATCATTTCGATACACATCCCGATAGAATAAGTATTCATCCTCTTTTGACATATCCCGAGCTCGAACTGCACATGGATGAAAATTCTCATGAACCAAGTCTCGAGCGATTAAATCTGTAATTTGGATCTTCAACTCCTTATATTCGTTCAAGTGTATCTAGTAAAAAGTTATGTTAGGAGGATTCAACTCTGAGACAAAATCTACGCCATGCTGAGCAACTTTCACTAACAACCACTTAGGAGATATAATTTTGGGGGGTGATTTTAATACCCAAATAACTCATTTTCTTTTAGAAGTGACTCAAAATCTTCTCGTCTCTGACAAGCTAGACCTCCATCAGTAGAATTATTTTAGGAGGTAGGCTATATATTTGAAAATTTTGAAATTCTCTTACGTGAGGATGCTCTGTGTCTGGCAACTGCTCCTCAAACTCGTGGTCATTTGGGACATCTAATGCTAGTTCTGTTGATGCTTCTCTCAATGTCTGCAAAAAGGTAACTTGTGGCACCTCAACCTCACACTCTGCATGAATGCCTATTATTTCAGACTTGCTTTATTCTAGAACAACTACTGTCAACTCAGCTGTAATCTCTCAAATGAATTCAATTGGAATCGATGGTGCCTCTTTCTCGTCGGCTGAAAGTTGAGAATCTTCGTTGCAAGCTTCATCTTCTCCTCAATCACTGTTTATTTTTTCAAGTGCTCCCAAATCTATGAAAGGGATAATTCTTCTAAATGTGCATTCTGATTTGATATGCTCAAATTCATAACACTTTAAACACTTTTGGCTGGGACATTTGAGAATGCAAATTGGTTCCACTCGTTCTCCACTCTGACCTAGTGCTTCCTCAGGCGGGGTCAGCTTGTATGTTCCCTTGGGTGTACTTTGGCTATGAGATCTTGGGGTTGAACCTTATTTTTAAGATGTGGTCACCTGGTGATGTGATCTCTCCACTTTTGAATTTGGGGTCTGTACATTCAGTCGATAGTGAATTGGTAGGTACTGACGCTGCATCTCCCGTTTCATCTTGGAGTAGGTAGTAATTTTAATCTTTTCTTCTCGCTGTTGAAGAATCTTCAAGTTTGCCCATCACTAAAAAGCACTCTTCCCTAACTTGCTGGCAGTTAGTTGCGTCATGTTGTCTGGTGGGACGTCCTAACACTTAAAGACCCATTCCAGGATCCAAAGCCACTTGATAACCTCGTCAGGATCCATGTGGCCTCCGAAACATGGTAAATCCAACGTTACTTTTAAAATACTGGCTTCTCAGATATTAAGGGTAAAAATTTTGGGGTAGAGTTTCATTATTGGTATTCGCATGATGGAAGAGGTTTACTCCATTCTTTCGATCTAATAAGTCATCATTTTGGGTACGGGTAACCCGTCCGATTAATTTTCTTTCCTCAATTCATTGAGTCATTACAGCATTCCTTAGAGTTGTTGTATCTCATCCAAGGTAAACTTCTTATCAGCGTATGACAATTATCTCCTTAGTGGTATGATTACGGTTTGGCTATGGGTTGGTGGACGGTGGTGTGTAGGGTGGAAGGAAATGATAATTTTTGGTTTTTTTTTGGGGCACAAATGGTGCTAGAACCCTAGGATAGGATCAGGATTAGGCTAGCTATGATACCAAATAATATCTGAGTTAACCCAAATTACAATGAAATAATAAATTTTGTTAGTAAAAGTTAAATAAGAGTTTACAAGCAACCAACTGGAATAGGAAATAACAACTCTCACGAGACCTGAAATCGAAAGTAACAACTGACACGACACAAACATTCTACGAGGGTGAATCTCGGGGTGGCGGTGGTGGTCGGTGAAGGTTTGGAAGGTGGTGCGAAGGTGGAAAAGTCTGTTGGAAAACAGAAACAAGAAGGCAGCGGTTTGCCGGGGAACGATGTGTGAGGGCTGTTCGGGTTGATGGTAGCAATAGGGAAAGGTGGAAATGGCGGCGGGTGCCATGAGGTGGCAGCTGCCCCGATGGTGTGGGCGGCTGCAAGGAAGGTTGGGAAGGGGCGGTAGTGGATTGCGAGGGCTGTGTGGGCTGTTGGGAGGATGCAAACAAGGTTGCGGTTGGCTGGAGGCACTGGCAGCTAGGATGGAGTGCTGGAATGGCAATGGGGGATGCAGTGGGTTGCTGGATAGCTAAAGGAAGGCTGTCCTAGGCAGGACAGCGAGGAAAAGGGCTAGACATCTAGGAAACTGCAGGAGAACAACAAAATGATTGTTGTAGTTGTTTTTCAGAAAGGAGGAATGTGAGGCAGCGAAGCATGACGGATGCGGAGGAGTGGGGGAAGGTTAAACACTACTTGGAGAGCAAGATACAACCGAAGCACGACCTTGAAACCAAGATACTTCTCTCGCAGGGAAGAAGAGACGCAGATGGCTCTCCTGATACAAAACACATAAAAAACTAACCCTAAACCCCTAGGAAAACAAATTTATAATAAGATAACTAGGAGCGGCCTAAGAGGACTGACCGACTACCTGGTTCGGTCCAGGGCATTATGCAGGGTATTTGCGTAACTCCTCGGGAGCTACAGTACCTGCTCGCTCATCAACAATGTTCTTAGTGTTAAAATTATTGGTGGAATTATTATTTTTGCCTTTCTTTCTAAAAAGACCTTTCTAGGCTTGGATGAAGACAACAATATATGCATGCTACTTGTCATATTCTTAATGACTTGAAGGCTTTTTTTTTTTACCTTATTTTTGGGCATAATGCAATACTCTTTTGAGATGGAGGTTGTGAATATGCAAAATGCAATGTGAAGCACTAGGAGATTTTATTTAGTTTCTAAAGCATGAAGTGCAAATAAATAAGTTTAGATGTTAGATATGTAAATGCATAAGAAATGGGTGGTATATATGTAAATGCCCCCATTTTTTATTATAAGATTTCTAACTATTTCTATCTCCTTCATTTGTAGGTATGTGGTCCGCCACTTCAGACGTACAGGAATTAATCTATTTGTGCAGGGGCTGGATGCATTTTTGTACCTCCTACTAAGCATCACACTCATTTACAACGCTTATTGCCTTTTAAATGATTTCTTATATCCACACATTTCTATTCCTGTTTCTTATAATGGATTCATCCCGTTTGAATTTATGACTCAGAGAAACAGAGAGATGGTTCACTGGCAGGCTGTGATATCTGTGGTGCTTGGGGTTATAATGAGGAAATGCATTTGCCGTTTTCACGAGGTCGGTTTGGTGGCTATGGTGTTTGTTTCCGTCTTGGAATCGGCGGTCCAGTCATCTGGCATTATTTTCGGGCAGCCTGAGTTGGTTTTCGCCGGCCTTGGTTGATCTGTGATCAGATTAAGCTGGTGGGGTTGGCTTCTCTTTTTTATTGATACAATAAACATTCATTGATGTCAAAAAATTGTCTTTGCTTACTCTTTTTGATTAATGGTGTATATTATTTGTTCCATGTAGAAGTTTATTATGAATGATTTTTGGGTGATATTTTAGATTCATTAGGAATTTGTCTGCCTTTGGAAATATGAAATGTTCATTGGAAGGCCATTTGAGTGATGAGTAAATGGCCTAAATGTCAAAATGATCCCCCAATTATTTGGAAATGGATCCCAATTAGTCACTCGAGATTAAATTGAGATCAATTTTGTATAATCGAGGGACTAAAATTAGATCAATTTTTTTGTGATGATTCTACGCGAGGGATCATTGTAAATCAATTTTTCGAAGACGCGAGATTGAATTGTTGCACCACAATACTTTAGGAATACATTTTTTATATTTTCATTTTGATTTAAGAAACTCTTAAAAGTTGGAATTGATTGGCAGGAGTTTTTTTATTCACAAGTGTTCAGGAGTCGTCACCTTTTAGGTTGCTTCCTGCTAAATAACGGTACAGGTGTTGGGGAAGCCAAAAAATACGGGGCGATGGAGAAAAGCAACATGAGGGGAAGCTTCATTTATTGGAGTCTTCCTAGTTAGAATTTTAATCAAGGATGCTGTTTCAGACTTGAAATGGACAAATTATTACATCCGGATGTCTGGATTTGCAGACAACAACCTGGATGCACTGATTGATGGCGGGAATTGGACCTCCGCTCTTTTCGCAGCATCCAGGCCGTTGTCCGCACATCTGGAGTCGAAATAGACAAATCTCTCCTTGAAATGAGAGAAAAAAAAACAATCAGATAGGATAAATATTCACGGTACGGAGTTTTTGGAAATACTGTTCTTTATATGCCTTAAAAGTTATTGCATGTTTAGAAATTGCTTGTGCTTTGGTAATATTTTTTATTTTATTTGATTTTGGAAAAAATAATAAGTATACACCTGTTTCATACTCCTTGTGCTACCTCCTGATGCCCTTCCACATGACTACATTGGTAGTAGTGATACCAAATTAATTTTGATTCATGAATGTTTGCTAATCATCAATGGAATTGGATTGCAATTTACGTGAGGGGCATTTTGATTCCATGATTGCATTTTATTGGCCGATTTTTGTTGCCTCTAATTTGGATCATTCAATCCATTAAAATTGTTGTGAATAATTTGATTGTGAGAAGTTGGATTAGCCAAATTCGTCAAGCTAACAATTAAAAAAGTTTGCTCACAATGATTTCCATTACATCACCGTTGAACCATTGTTATTAGTCTTAGTTGGTAGCCTAACCGGACAAGCTCGATTGGGTCAACCCGAGAATGATATCATCTATTTACTAATAATTTTAGACCTGAATTCAACTCCTATGCATCCTGAATTCCAAAAAAAATGAAGCTATCTTTGATTGAGACTACTTAGTGAATTCCAAACGGACTCTGATAGCATTCTCCTGGTCTTATTTGCTTCATTGTCGAAAGTAGTAGAAAATCTTTTGATTGTGTTGTTAGGTATGACTCATATGCCATAAATGGGACAGATGCTGGAGTGGAGCGAAAGGATCTGTCCAAACGGGAGAGTTTCACTATGTGAGTTGGGGGTGCAGGGGCAACACCCCGCGATTTAGTACAAGGATAATTTAAGTTATTACATATTGTGCTATAAGGTTATATATATGCCCTGTTTGTAACCCTAGGTGAGCCTCTGAGATTCTGAATTCTTGTATTTGTACTCTTTTATGAATATTGAAAAGGAAGGTGTCGCTCTACGTCCGAGGATGTAGGCACCTTTGCCGAACCTCGTTAAATCTCTGCGTTCTTCTGGTTTTGTGTCGATTATGTGTTTTCTTCTCCCTAAATTTCTCGACATGGGCAAAACCCAGCAGTTTTTCCCATATATGATTTTTGCTTAAGAAAAAAAATCAATGGAATTTCTCATATATGACTACCAACCTACATATTTTCTTCTATGTTTTGGTTCCTCTCGAAATAAGCCTCTATCAATATTCTGCAAAGGAAGCTCTGCTTTAATTTCTTATTGTGAACGTTCGGAAAGTTGTTAATCCAAGAGGCAACTTGGTTGCAAGATTAGCCAAATCTAAATTTTAAGAAATAAATTTCTTAGCTACATTAATAGTAATTTCTCAGGGGTGCAAACAAAACGAACTCGAGCAAACTTAGTTCTTATTCGTGTTCAGCTCTTTCATTTTTTTTCTTTGTTTGAAATAATCTTGTGAATAACATTTTCAAGCTTAGCTTGATTTGAATTCATTCGTCCGTTTCAGCTTGTGTTTGGCTCCAAGTTAGCAAAAATAATTTAGAACATAATAAAATTTTGATATTTTTAAATACCTTATAAAAGTTAATATAACAATGTTATAATAATTTCTTTTATGTACTTCGAGTTAAAATAAGTCGAACACACTAAATGTTTGTTCTTGTTGAGCTCTTCTATAAATCAAGCTCATAAATATTATTTGCATTTAGCTCACATGACACATGCTATTTAATGAGCCGAACACAATTGTTCTCGAACAATTTTTATTTTATTTATTTAATTTCTTTTTTACAGCCTTAGACACTGGCCCCCACTGTTTGGGGCTGCCCGTGGCTACTTACCGCCATAAACCCGACCTGTTATAGTTTGCCATCACCCACAACCATCATCGCCATCAATGGTGTCCGTTGTTTACACCCGTTGGGCATTACATTGAGTTTATGTTCAAATAAAAATAAAATAAAAAAAAAATCTTTTACATTTATTTTACACCTAACCAACTAATTTTAAGATATTTAAAATATATCATATTCCTTTCATTGAAATTCTATATTCAGCAAATAAAACAACTCATTATAAATCTTAATAATCTTCCTAATAATAACTTAGCAAGAATAATCTAATCTTCTATCATCTCAAATATCCATTATAATTTAACATCTCCATGCTTCATTGAATCGCGCTTGACAAAAGAAATCTACCCAACCAGCTATGCTTGTCTGCTTTCAAGCCATCGTTTATCTGCCTTTGTTTAGGCTATATAGGCCGCTGCTCCTTCAATGAAAAACTTAGGCAGCACATTACTATTTCTTGAAAGATATTTCTTCAATCATTAAATGATAATAAGTAAACTATCTTTGGGAATATAGTTTGTTTCGCTGATTAGCATATTTTTTTTAAGTTACTTTTCGTGTTGAATTTGGCTTTGGGTTATCCTGCATTGCTTCTTTCAATTGCTTCCTCTCTCACCGTTAATTCTTTCTTACAGAATTAGTGTATTTCATCACAATGCACATTTAGAGGTAACTTTAATTGCCAAATAATTAGCTAGGAAGGAAGGATGAAAGGTGGAGAGAAGTTTTCATCTCGAAAAAATATTACATACAGACTCCGATGTTACTGGCGTTCAGAGTCTGATGGTGAGGCGCTACGTGTCAAGTGGGTCCCACCGCAACAGTGGGCCCACTTGACCCATATGTAATATTTTTTCGATTTTTAGAGGTGAATCCTCACACCCTTCGTATTCATTCATACAGTAAAGCATCCGAGTGTGACAAACTAATCTAAAAAATCATTCTTTAATGATAATTCTACACAAACTAAATTATTTTTTGAGCCACTAAATAATTTATACACAAATACATAACTTTGCTCATATGCAACATTTGCATAATGGTCAACAAAAATCCACATATCGAGTTTCCAGCCACAACAATGTGTATCCTCATCGATTGCTAGGTCCACCATCTATAACATTAAATACTCCTCCACTCTTGCTGTTCTTAAACCTGAAGCATTTCTCCCAAATCATGTCTTCTTCTCCCTCCCTCCAATGGCTTAGCTTAGTTGGTACCATCTGGCTTCAATCCATCAACAGTGCAAACTCTGACTTCCCAGTATACTCCTCTCAGCTCAAACAACTACTTTCCATCTCACAGATTCAGCTTAACAACCTTTCCTTCGCCTCTGATGCCGGAAAACTCTTTGGCTGGCTTTCTGGACTCGCAGCCACCTATCTCCCTCTCCGACTTGTCCTGCTCATTGGTGCAGCCTTCAGCTTCATTGGCTATGGCGTTCAGTATCTTTTCTTAGCAAACAAGATCTCAAATTTAACATATTGGCAAGTTTTCTTGCTTACTTCAGTGGCTGGTAATGGCATCTGTTGGATCAATACTGTATGCTATTTAATCTGTATCAGAAGTTTCTCTTTAGATAGCTCTGTTGCTGTTGGAATTTCTACAAGCTATGTTGGCTTAAGTGCCAAGCTTTATACGGCATTGGCTGATTCAGTTTTTCATCCAGAACATGACCAGAAGGCCAGAGCTTATCTTCTCCTTAATGCTGTTTGTCCTCTTTTTGTAGCTTCTGCTGTTTCTCCATTGCTTCGAGTGGCAGATAGCAGAGAGGATGGAGGATCAAACGGCGCTTTTGTGGCGATGTTCGTAATCGCGATCGCGACGGGAACTTGTTCAGTTCTTGGCAGCATTGGCTCTGCTTCCAGTGGATTTTGGTCTAGAGAACATATGATAAGTCTGGGAGTGCTTTTGATTGCACCGGTCGTGATACCAGTTTTTCTTAAATTTAGAGAAGGATTTGAGAACAAGAAGGAAAATAGAGTTCATGATTTTACTCTGGATGATGTTGGAGGAGCAGATAGAGTGGTAGTTTCCGTGCTTAAGAATGAAGGAGCTGATGATGGAAAGGTGAAGAAACAAATTAGCTTGATATTGATGCTAAAAAAAATAGACTTTTGGCTGTATTTCTTCGGTTATATGTTCAGCGCAACACTTGGTATGGTGTTCTTGAACAACTTGGGGCAGATCACCGAATCCCGCGGCCTCTCTCGAACTTCTTCCATCGTTTCCTTGTCTTCTTCGTTTGGCTTTTTTGGCAGACTCCTTCCTTCCATTCTAGACTATTATGTTGGAAAGTAAGTTTTTTTATAATTCTCTTTTGGAGGTTCTGTACTGCTTGTCGTACTTACAAGACTTCTTTTTTCCCCTGAAAAATTGTTCAGAAGAGGATTCAAGTTCTCAAGGTCGGGTCTTATGGCGACAATGATGGCTCCAATAGCAGGATCTTTCTTCCTGCTGCTCAAGTCAAGCAGCCTGATATTATATGCCAGCACCGCCATTATAGGAGCTTGTTCGGGAGCGATAACTTCTGTAGCTGTCTCGGCGACGACAGAGCTATTCGGAACCAAACATTTTGCGGTGAATCATAACGTCGTTGTCATGAACATTCCATTCGGGTCCTTCCTCTTCGGCTACATGTCTGCTGTCTTTTACCAGAAGGAAGGGGGAAGCAACACCTGCTTTGGTGATGATTGCTACAACAGGACCTTCATCATCTTTGGTTCTGTCTGCTCTTTGGGAACATTTCTATCAGCAATCCTGTATGCTCGAAGCCGCGGATTTCGTTCCATGGTTTGGGAAATGGAGGTTGATTCAGACGAAAGGATGAGTGATTCTAGTTGCTAGGAATATCAACTTTTTAGTAGTATTGAATAATTTAGTTGAAGAACATCATACTTGAAAATGGTAATAGTGTGTAGTGAGTAGTGAGTAGTGGACTCCGTGATTATCATGTCACTGAGAACGGCTGGGATTTTCTCTTATAATTTATAAAATCCTAGCTTTGTAATATGTTTGATATTAGATTTGAATACAATTACTCTTTTTTTATTTATATAATTTTTGTGTCTTTCAGTATGATTTTTTGCTGAGGCCCTGCAGTCAAAACTTTGCTTTTTATGAATTTTAGTTGTATAATCAAGAGTTAAATGTTCTTATGTTTAGTATTAATTTAGTATTTTTTAAACATAAAAATCATGATAATTTTATTATTATTATTATTATTATTATATAAATGTGTGGAATGATATAATGTGGTCTAGTATGAACAATTATGATATTAAAATTAATCAACTATTATTTTTATTTTTTTTTTTCTGAACAAACACATGAGGAATTTCTCAAACAATGTTTTCCAAACTTTTTTTGAGTAGAATACAACTTCATCCTTTTTTTTTCAGAATAATACAATCACACAATTTTTTGTTTATTTACATATCTAGCTCCTGAACTTTCACATTTACATGCCCTACATTCAATATTTTTTCGTCACATTAATAAAAACTTTTGACGCATTTTTCGTCAAGCTATAAATGTAAGGATAAAATTTTACGAGTTAGATATGTAAATATATAAGACTTGTTTGACATTTATGTAAATTTTCCAAAAATAAATCAATATATTTTTCAACCAGAATTAAATATCACTGAATTGATCTCTATTTTTTTTTTAAAGTATTTAACATAGATTTCTAACAACATATATTTCCATTGAAGCCACCCTAAGTTTGTTGTTTGAGAGATTATCTTTTCAATTATGAGGTCTGTTGAAGTCCTCAAATATGCATGGTGAGTATTTTTGTATAAGTTTGCCCAAATGTAAGAATAATAATAATAATAATTGATGTGTGCTGAAAAATTCACAACGGTATTGTAACGGATTATCGTCTTAGCATTGTACGAGAATTCAACACACGCACAGATGAAAGAGAAAACAACCAATGATGACTCCAAGAACTTTTACATGGAAAACCCGGAAAGAGAAAAAACCACGGGGCATGACCCAATTGCTAAAATTCACTATTGATTGATATTACAAAGACCCTTTGTCCCACAGACTGGAAATGGTTACTAGTTTTCCAAGTTTTAACATTGACTGACAGCGTCTAATCAACGGTGGTCGACAGTAGTCGAGGACGGTCGACGAAGGTTAGCGGTGATTAGTGGTGGTCGACGGTGGCCAACGGTGGTCAACAGAGGTCGCCGACGGTCGACGACGGTCAGTAGTGGTCGACGACGGTCAGTAGTGGTCGACGACGGTCAACGGTGGTCGACAGAGATCGGCGGTGACATAGATAATACTGGACTTGAGCTCTTTCTCAAAGCCTCAAGTTCTCTCTCAAGCCTCCTCCCCCTCATGTGAGGGGTGGGGCTCTATTTATAGTGTTATGAGTGCAATTAGTGCAGGAATATGAAACATTTTGATCGAACGGTACGGAGTGCTTCTCTCGATCGAAAGACATTTGATGGACATTTGAGTGCCTTAACGATGTTGGAATTTAGCAATCTTGTGCTCGTTGGATTTGTCTTGTCGAGATGCTCGATTCGAATATGAATTCACTGAATTTGACATTCGTTTGATCTTTCAAATGTGTCCGGAAATCTTTTAATAATGATTTAATCACTTGATCTGGGCTTGATTTGACTCAGATTGGACTAACATGATATCATTAGGTCCGTCTCATCGAGTCGGTCAGTTAGACTATAAGTTTGCTGAAATTGGAGCTCTGGATAACTTTTAATTGAACTTCAAAAGATTATCTCGAGATTCGTGTCATATCTGGAGATTTGTGATGGATGATGAAAATTTATTGATGATGTGCCAATAATAATAAAAGCTTTCCTCATTAATTTGATAAACTTGGTGGCCTCTGTTTTTTAGAGACCCACCTTAATTTCTGTCGAAGTGAATGAAAACTGTGGCATCGTTTGGCGCACGCAATTATCTTATTTACCTTAAAATAGTCTTAGCCTAGTTATTTTAATTTGTGAAATAGCATGAAGATGATCAACAAAGCAAGATAATTCAAACCTTTGATGGCTTCATTTCTAATTTCGAACGTGGAATTTATAGCAGAATTAATGAAAATAAAATAGGACCACATAATCAGAGAAAAATTTAAATGTGGTCATGTTTTCATATAAATTTGGCATTTGGCAAGCACTAATGTCGAATCATAGTACAAATCTAGTTGTTAGAAATGTGAATCCATGCAGTAGGGTCTTTGAAACGGGCAGTTGTCCGTCAATGTGAATCCATGCAGTCGGGTCTTTAAAACGGGCAGTTGTCCGTCAATTAATTAAATTAATATCTCCGAATTTTAGAGAAATAACTTTATATGATTTCGTTAAGAAATTAGGGATAGTTCTATAATTTAACTAATATTGAAGTTTTTAAGAGGTGCCCAACTTTTTTTCTTTAGTTGGAGACTAAAGAAAAAAACGAACGTATAGATTGTAATTCAAATATGTCCTGTGAATAAAAACCAACGTATAGATTGTAAGACAGATTGAAAAAAACAAAAAGAATGAGAGAAAGAGAGTGCACAATAACACGTGCTTTGGTGGAGTCAAGCCGTCCTCTTTTATTGTAGAAATGACTCTCTATTTATATATTTCGGGTGTACTAAATGTACAATTACATATTCATCCATGTTTTATTAGGAACGTCACAATGTCTTCTGATACCTTTTCATATTCGTAACTTACTCCGACACCAAATAGGAGCATCTGATGACCTGATACCTTATCACTCAGTTGAGTTGAAACCTTTCGTTGGCCGAAAGAGATTCAGTCGGCCAAGAGGTCGTTGTTCGGCCCTTTCAAGAGTGAATTTTGAGAAGAGGCTCTCCTGTCGTTAGAAAAAAATGGGATACCACTATAATTTGAGGGGCAGCTCTCTTTGGATAAGAAATTTTCTTAAAAGGCCAAATAAGTGTTCTGTGGGCGGCCCTTTGTCCATTTATGAGTTTCAGAATCGGCTGAGAGAGCTGGTCATGAATGATAGTCCTTCAGATATTTTCATTTTGCTGTGCTTCTGTTCAGTCGGCTCAAAGTTCCAACAGAAGAAAATGATGTTTGAAGTTTCTATCTTTTGACTATCCAGATACAATGTCCTTTGGTGTTTGTTAGCATGAGAAGTTGGATTTACTCGAGATTCGTGCGAACATATATCCTTTTTAATGCACAAGTTAAATTTGTTTTTTGAAATTTAAACTATTATAATATTCTTAAAGAATACATTTCATATTATTTTTTTGGTCCAATTTGGATTACACTTCTGAGCAAAAAAAAATTATATCTATAATATTTTTATAAGAAGATTTACATATATACCTCTCAGTTGCTATGTATTTACATATCTAACATACTTTAATTTTTGCACACGTAGCCTAATCTCCCATTATCAATTTGACAATAAAAAAATGCAATTTAATTCTTAATTAAGAAGATTCATGCATACTTAATACTTATTTATTTTTTTCTAAGAGAATTTTTTTGTGGCTTTTATTCATTTCCAGCGAATATTTGGCCTAAAAATGTTAGCATGACTCAATGACAAGCATGCTACCGGAGATTAATTAGTCGTAAAAAGAAGAAGGATCTGGATGCTTTTTTTCACCATCATCAATTCAGTTTCATATATCAAGTCTATAATTAATTCTTGCGAGTTTAAATAACCCACCCAACCTGATCTTGATCTTCATTTGATGGAGATGGACTCTTTGCAGCATAGCCTTAAATTACTCAATTTGCTGTAGAAGTCCATTTCAGGTAGGTATGCTTATGTTAATAAAGTTTGTCTCATAAAAAATAATTTAAAACATTTTTTTTTTAATATATTGATTTAATTACACATATTCTTTACTCGTTCTACCATAATTTATATTTAGTTCTTAAGTTGAAACTAAAGTAAATATTTATATGTCAAGCCCAATTTCGATATTAGTCATGCAAATTGTTTGCTCGGATGTGCTTGGTGGTGTATTATAATTGAGTAAAATTTTAGCGTATTATGTGTGGAGACTGATTTGGAGAGCCAAAGCAGAGGTATAGCACTCGCTGCATATGCGTCGGGTTGTGGGCGCACATGCGCCCACTTTTGGAGACAGTAAGGTCGACGCATATGCGCCCACTTATCGTGGGCGCAGTAAAGTTGACACATAGACTCCAACATGCGGGCGCTTGCGGCCAACTTAGGCGACGCGCGACAGAAACTTTTGAGAATAGGCGACAAGTCATGCCAGGAGCTGTTTTTACACGGGTTTTCGGTTTTAAGACCGATTTCAAGCTAAGTAGGTGTTTGAAGGGGTGGGATTTCCTTCTGAAGTACTTCGACAAGCATCAAGATGAAGGTGAGAAGGGTCGAAGAGGTGGATTTATGTAATTTGGTGTGATTTTTGCATCAGATTGGACAAGGAAGTTTGTGGAGCATGTCCTGTATGTTTCCTTATATGTAAAAGAAAAAACTTGTGAGTTATTTGTACAACATTTTGAATTTCATTGTAAAATTTTTTGGTAGTTTAACTTCGTGGTACTTTCCTGTTCTTAGGTTTTCTTACGTAAAATTCTCGTGTGCTATTCTGGTTGATTTGATTGTGCTTCTTTTAATATTTTTGTTCTAGATTTTTCAAAATTGGGTGATGTGGTGTCGTTTAGTTTCTAATTGATCCTAAGCCTCGATAAAGTATATTTAGGTATCGCTTTTTATGCTTTCCCCAATAAAGATATATTTAAAATTTACGCTCAGAGTGTTCTAGAAAATGTTTATTTAAGAGATAGCAAGACCTATAATATAGTATGAATAGATGATGTTGATATTAAGTTGTCGATTGAAACCGTCTAAGAGCTTATTAAAGTTTGAAGAGAAATCTTATCCCTGTGAGCCAGCTGACAAAGTCAGTACTCGTGACTATTTTCATAGGTGATTCATGAAAAGTGACCAAGGGGCATTAGTGATGGCTCAAGGCAATATTGAAGGCACACTTTATCT